AAACGCGTATGATTGGCTTTGACTTGTAGCTTGAGTAATCCCCTTAATCTGTTGTATTTAATTAAAAGATAAAAATTGTAAACAATTCATTTCAAATGTTTATACAATTATATTAATTACCTGAATTTCCAATTTCTTTCTTTCTTTATTTAACTGATGATCACACATCTTGTTTTCAATGGGAAGCCAAAGGTTATCGATATAATTGCCTTTTTTCCGTTGATCCTGACAAACATTTATTAGTTTAATCTAATGAACAATATATTTTTTACACATCAATAGCAACAAATGCTACATCAAGCCACAGCAAGCTAGAAGCCCATCGGAAGAATAGCTAAAAGCCACACTTCCTAGCTATGGATACCTAAAAGGCATTTAGAGTCTCCACTGCAGAGACCACAACGAGCTAGAAGCCCATCAGAGGGATAGCTAAAAGCCGTGCCTCCTTGTTATAGATGAAACAAAATTATGCCATATAACAGCCGATAGTCTGTTTCATATAGAAACTCTTATTATGACATAGCATTCAAAAACATATTAAAAGTAAACTCGCCTTAATAACAGCCAAAAGGCTCTTTGCTTTTGTAACTTTTTTATCGTCTACGTGCTTATTAACAATCGCCCGGAGACTTTTTGCGAGTGTGTCTGAAGACTTATCGTAAGCCAGGTTTACCGGATTCCTTTCGTTATCCTGGATCCACTCTATATGAAATTGCAAAATATTCCAATCTTCTGCATCGGTTCTGTCAAAATAAGCGTGCCATGAGTTGGCCATGGTAAAAGGGGCAAAAAGGTTTTTATGGTCAGAAATAAACACGTTTATCTTGCGATTTGATTGGTTTATATTTTTTAAAAATCATACAGATGATCCGCAGTAGACGATCCTTTAAGTGTACGGCTTGATTGGGACACACCCCTGAAATTAGATGAATAAAACAAGGTTTAACAATCAATATATTTATTAACGCAATAATATAATACATTCTACTCGCCACTCATATTTTTGAGCTGACCTTATCCAACAGGTTTGTAATTGAGGTGATGTAAGGCATAGCCTATTACTTTGCAATAAAATAATAAGCAAAACCTATTATTTATGCTAGGAATTTTTGTGTCAGATGGAAATGGGTTGATATATAAAAATCAAAGTAAAAAAATGTTTGGAAAAAGATGAGTCATTATCTACTGTTTGTAACACATTCTGCATCTACTTTTCTGACTTCGAGTGATAGAGTCACGAGAAGGCGGGATTGATAAATCGAATAAATACAGTAGATGTGATAGGTATTAGATAAGTTGTGCATTGTTAATTTGTCGCATTTCTTCTCGAACCGCCCATAATAGTCGATAATGTAATGCTAATTCTGAAGTGCAGAGACCATCGCATCGGGTTTATACATATATTCAATGAATTTACGTTGTATTATTGTACATGCTCGAATTTTTTTACCAATTTCTCTGGCACGTTTAACCTTTTTAATAGCATTCTGCATCCACAACTCATATCTATGTAATGCATATTCATTATCGAAATCATATCCTGAAAGAGATTTTTGCTTGATTTTCATTAAATATTCGTCATAATTTACATCACAAAAGGAATTTCCAATGCAATGAGTAGCCCAATGCTTCTCTATTCCTATATGATTATAATTACCTATATTTTGGTTCGTTCTCCAATATATATCAGTTGATTACAAGAGAAACAGATAGCAAGTCTAATTTCTGGTGCATAGCTTTTATAATGTTCATTGACTGCAGACCAATACGTTATTAATTTTCTGGCTTCAAAGTATTTTCTATTATAAGGTATAAGATTATTCTCTCTGAAATATCGTAAGCGAGGCCAAATTCGATTCATCCATTCGGTAGGAGTCTCGTTTGATGAAACAATACCCATCTCCAGGATTTCATCCCATTCAGCATCGGTACACTTAGTTCCACGTCTTTCACTTAAGCTAGCCATTTTATATACTCTAGAATAATATGATTCAATTTTGTGCGATTGGGTTCTTGGACCATCTCTTTGAGAGTGTTATATTCGTCATATTTTGCGAGTGATGTACTTTGGACATATTATGATCTATTTTTGACATGTGGATAATCGTTGCATAATCTATTTCGGGTGTATTATTGTGGAGCAATGAGGTTTCACCTCTACAAGCATATAATTAGGCGTTCGCCAGCCTCCGGCTAATTTCCTGGTGTGATCCATCCAATCAGAATAATTAAAAAACCGGAAAATTATTAACCAATCACACCACGTAGAAATTCATGGAACATGCGTAATTGCGTAACTGTACTGATGATGATAATCGGTTAGCGGGAATATGCACCACCCACGAAGCGCACCAAAATACTGCGTATCAGATTGCTTAATTAGTAGAGTTAGAGGGTTAATATGTGTCTTGTTACTAGCCTCGCTATTAATAGCTGATTTTATTATCTTGATTAATGAAAATACAAAAGAACCAATACTATGGAATGTTAATATAAAGAATAACTGGTAGATCAGTAAATCGTATATTGTGATCGCTGTTAATTAATTAGTACGAAATCTGATCACCAGTAAAGAGCCAATGTCATGGTCGGAAAGAATAAACCGAATATAATTCGAGTTAAGAGAAGGTATACTCATGAGATGCGCAAGAAACTAAGCTAATTCATCTTTGTTTTGTGAAATTAAGATATATTGATCGCCTTTACTGTGAGATTTAGTTTTACGAGCTACAGATATAAACGTGTGTTTTCTCAGTGAACCGGTCCTAAGATACAGAGTAATCCATATCGTAACTTTTTACAACGCGAAACCCACGTAATTTCAAGCAAGCGCTATAATTCATAACCGTAAAAATCTCAAACATATCGGCTTCGTTATTACCTAATAAAATCGAATCATAAATCATACAAACCTATCAGAATGTTCTCGATTACTTACTGTTTTCCGGCTTTATGCTGATTCAAATGATATTTCTATATATCATAACCAGATACAATTCTGGGAACACTGAAAAGCGATTCGACGAGAAAATGACTGTCTCACTCAAAAAACAACAAAAAATTATCTCTGGTTTATCTGAAACCGTAAAACATCTTGGTTATGACATTCGTGAAGTTCGAGATGGGGTCGCGAGAAGTAGTAATGCGGGATCTGGTACATCCAAAACGCCTCAAAATTATACTGGCACCATTTTCGAACTGTGGGAAGAAATTGATACATTATTCAACGAGAAAAAGCGTGTCGAAAAGCGGTCCATGGCAAGGCTATACCCCAAGGTAGCTGAAGAAATCCGAACCCTTGTTATCAATCATAAGAGGGGGATAGCAATCAGTGATGCCACCATTAGGAATTTTCATAAAAAAACGACTAAAAATCCGAAAGAAGAGACATTGGACGCATTAAAGTTATGGGTATCGAAACAGAATGGGGTGATAGATACTGAACCGGAAAGTGAGGAGGAAGAAGAAATAAATCACGATAGCTAATGTGGAGTAGGGAAAGGAGCTCTCATTTTATGGGTTAGGGCTCGAGATGCTCCTCCCTCTTTGTCCTTACTCCACGAATGATTCTATTTCAAAGAAATGAGCTACGCTCTACAAGGCTGGCCTTTATTGCAGAGCAATGATGATGCAAAGCATCGAATCTCCGATTCCCTTTGGGTCTACATTGTAGCGTAAAAAATAACGTTGAAATATATAATTATTATCAATAAAGTTATCAATTATTTGTTATTTTATTTTGTGTAATTAATTGAGTCGTGGTTGTAATTGTTTGGATGATTTGGCGAATCATGAGAGTTATGAGGTTTGTTTGACACACTTTCGGGCAAACTTTGTACAGCAATTATAACTTTCTTTTGATCAATGCGAAAAGGGCAGTTAAGAAATAGTGATCATTTTTTCCAGACAGCTCCAGTCGCCCCATATTCCTAAACGTGTATGTACTTCTTTACATACAGGGTATTTAGCTTCTGAATCGGTATATTTAAATACATCTCGATGCCATGCATTAGAATTGGTATATATCAAGAAAGGGAAGCGTTTATGTATTGCTTCATGAATTGTGCTTTTTTCTTCCGGAAACTTAGAAATTTTGATAATACAGTCTCGTGAGATACAATTATCGTGATAAATGTCGACCAAACAAACCTAAAATCGGATAACTTAACAGATCGGATTTTCACAGGTAACACATACGTAAAAAGTCACATGCCTGAAAAATTCGATTGCGTAACACAGATGTTTGATCAACACATCATATACTACACCACAGAATAAAATCGAAGGTCATGGAACTTCTGCATGCATGATGTAATCGTATGACCTGATTGTTACCAAATCTGATTAACCAACTCGTGCCATATGCATTTTCTTTGTGAAAAGTTTTTTCGCCGTGCATATTTACATAGTAAATGCCCATGGGCCTGCATCGCTCCAGTTCCACATTCCCTGAATCTACTATTCCCGCACCTAAATGAGCGGAGGGAACGTTTTAGCACCTTGTACTAGTTCCACTAAAAGGACAGTATATTTACGTTGTGGTTGTTCGTCGCTTTAGTGTTTTTTGTCCAGCTAAATTCTTCCCCATACGCTAACATATTCTTTATATCAACCCACTACATAAAAATGTCTACCAATACTGCGTTATTTGAAAAAGTTTATAATTTTCTCCGTGATTCCCCTTTAGAACATATCACGGCAGTTTCCATAGTCAATCAAGTGATAGAAGAAGAGCCGTGGTTCCCAAAGGAAGATTCGAGACAATTAATTTATAATGCGATTGCTTCTATAAAAAATCTGTATGGAGAGAATTCTGGGAAATATAAGAAACTCATTGAAATTCCGTTTAAGGTTGGTTATTTTACTCTCAGAACTCATTTTTATCGCCATATGATGAATAGTGCAGAATCTTGATAACCGGGTTGAGTAGATATCCAGAGCCTGCAAGCACAGGTTTAATCAGTAATGTATTAATCCTTAGACGCATGGGGGTATTTTCTCGATCTTGGTTTGAGATGATAATTATAATCATATTATGTGAGTTGTCATCTATGTGCTGGCCACGCATAGTTGATGATTTTACATAATAAAATCTGATGGGTGTGCACACATATTTTAAGGAATAAGTTTATCTAGGATCAACTAATTATAACTTATTTTTCTGCACTAGTTTGATGACGCTTTCGAAGGGGTGTGTAGTCTTTGAGATATTGATTTGGGGAAACGGGATGAACAGGTATCCACTGAGGAGATTGAAACGAATTTGCAGAAACTAAAGCTGAATCTTGGTAACAGTACAGCCCCATACGCTAAAAAATTGCTCAAATATCTTAAAAAAATTAAACCTTCCGACCTTTCATGGAGAGACCCTAAAGCAAGTCAAGTAATTAGTAGCAATTCAGAAATTATACGGCGTTTATCTGAGGAGGCAGAAGATGAATATAACCATTTTATGGAGCCAGTAAAATGTATGGAGGGAACAACTCCTCTTCGTATCAAAGATGTATGTAATGGGTTTGTGATGAGCTATAATAATACCATGTATGAGGGGGTGCCTATTGAGCTTTCACATGGAAATTGGGATGAGTCGGAAGAAGATGTTGTAGGGATAGCATCTGGAATACTTAATACAATGTTAGTATAATACATTTTTATTTTGGCACCACTTTATGCTAGCTCCGCTAAAAAATTATTTCTGTTATCAAAACTAGAGGAAGTATTTGGAGAAATCCAGCGTTTGGGGAGAAGTTCACAAAATCTCAAAACGAAGGGACATATGTAACAGATATTATAGTCCCTGTAATGAAAGCTTCATTGGAAAAACTACCAATAAAGAGTTTCGCCTTCGTTAGCACGTAAGTATGATATTATTTACTTTTTTTCGAGTAACTGGCATTTATTTACTTTACTTATGTAGAGTGGAATGACAAAGTATAGCAAGTAAAGATCGAAGAGGAAAGACTGGTAAGCGCCCCGATATTATGTTCATGGTAAAGTGTGGGAGAAAAATCTACGAATTAATGTTTGCTGAATGTTCTCATCTTTTTTGTGATAAAGATAAGGAAGAAAATGATTGGGTGAAGTTATGGAGAGAAATGAATGATGGCATGTATTGGGTGCACAAAGGTTGTAAGCCAAAAAAAGACGAGTTCGGAATTATTGGGATACAAGTTGCCAGACAAAAGTTTCACCTGTATGTTCTCATTCGGGGTAGAGATGGAGTAGATAAACTTTTATATAAAAAGTTACTAAAATGCAATCTGAGTTTGATTTATTAAAACAATGGGTTATTGATCTTGAGGTTGAGAATGCGAAGCTAAAACAAATTATTGAAGCAAATGCTAAACGCGAAGCTGAGAATATTAACCTCAAGATGGAACTAGAAAAAAATAAAAAAGATATTACCTATCTCTCAGCTGAAAATTCTGAGCTTAAAATCAAAGTAGCAAAATTAAGCTGTGATTTCAAGGAAATAAAATCAAAGGGAATGATTACTGATTCTCCGGATCAATTGTCAATTTCTGAGAAAAAGATAGTAAGTGTTTCTACCGAAATGGAAAATTCTAGCGTTACCCCCGAACAAATAGACATACAAACTGGGGATGTTTTGGCATCAGATATATCCGATGACACTTCAAATTCTGATGATATTCCCACAAAAGAAATTTCGCCACTTAATGAGAGTCAACCTGATAAGGAGGAAGCTATTACTCCCAACCCTATAACCGGAATAGAACATAGCTCAACCTGGGTCCAAAAACTGAATCATCTACAGCCTTTTTGTCACAAAATATTACCGATGACGATACGGACGAGATCTTTGATTTTGTAGAAATGAAACATAAAGAACATGTTAGTAAAGAGATAATGGAGAGAATTAGGGAAAAAAAACTTCGCAATCAAAACTCATCTTTGGATAGTACTTCATCGGAACCATTTTATGAAAATCAAAATCTGGAATCATCTATAATATCGCAATCTATCTCTAATAGTTCTGAGTTATCTTCGGATAATAATTCATCATGTGATTCTGAGTCCAAATCGCCTACTAATGTATCGCCTAATCAGAGGCACGAAACGCTTTGCTCCGCAAAAATTCCTTATAATCAAAAGGTAGAACGAGGTTTAAGACTCGAGCTATCTATTTGCACCAAAGATAATAACCACAAGATTAGTAATGTGATTGATATACAGATTCCTGAATTCTCTATAGAAGCAATTCTAACAGAATCGAGTGAAGTTACAGCAGAAAATATAGCCGATTTATTTAACATTGCTATGAAGACTAGACAAAAAGAAATTTTATGCTGGTATTATTATTATAAAGCATACGAGAATAGGGTTAGAAATATTAAGATTATGGATAAAATTGACGACAAATCTGCAAGAACATTGGTATATAATGAAATCAAATCACTTCTACCTGATGTTACTGATGTAAACTTGCGTAAAATAACTTTCAGAGCTAAAAGAGTTTATATATTGTTTGAAGGAATAGGAATAGATAAAATTAGTCAAGTAACTTATAGCGCAAGTGCCATTTCAAGTCTAAAGGATATTCAAATTCAAAGTATTGTGAATGATTTTTCCAAGAAGTTGATTGATACGAATTGCCAGGCACAGAGTGCCATTTCTTCCGAAATAAAAGCGATTGGCGTGACAAATTGTCACGCACATATGTCGGATCCATCTAGCTCAAATGATATATCAGATACTAAGGTAAATCTATCTTCTGTTTCTATCGATTTGAAAATCAAGACGAGTGAAGACACCAAGAAAGTATTACCGGAAACTGGGATAAATGTATTGCCTTCATATACAAAAACCGATGTTATTAACCCACCTGTATCTCGACCTCCTATCTCTATTTTACCCGATGATCCAGAAGAAAAGCGGAAATCCGTTATTAATAAAGTGCTAGAGCAGTTCCCTTATTTATCTTCGAAGTATAGCAGGACCGAAGGGACAACCCTAGGCTCGAAGAGCCATTTCTCTGAAATAAAGGGTTATAAAAATCACGATTATTTCGATTTTAATAGTTCAGCATCCTGCCCTATATGCAATAAAGACCATAAAAAAGAAAATATAAGAGATAATATAGAAGGTAGATGGGGTAGTGGTGATTATGTCAATACAAGAACTTATCGTCTGCAATGCCGTGAGGCCTATCAAAATTCAATCCAAATAGTAACGGTGAAAGCATAGACTATCGATTTCGAATAGCGGAGCTAGTGCTAATGCACGTATTAATGTCATCTGAAGGCCTGACCAATTTAATTCGATATTCACTATTTTTCGGATACGTTATGCATTACCAATCTTGATCAACAAACCAACTGTTTTTTTTCTATCGCTGGTTATCTATGTCCCACGGGTTGATCTCTGACTCGTCGATTTAAAACACATGACATTGCTCCCCTGAGGCCCGTTATAACGTGATGTAATTTCGCAGTTACGATGTGGTTATAATTATTTTCAGATTGAATTTGCTATATTCACTTAATTTATATATTTATGCGTTATTTTCCGCATTAATTATATCACCATATTATAACAACCATGACGAGTAATACCAATAATAATACTGATCCAAATGAAGAATTTCCTCAATTATACGAGGAGCTTTTATATAAGAAAAAGGATATAACAGCTATTCAGAAAAAACTTGGTATTAACAGTAATATAAATCAAATGACAGTGCCAGAGAGCAAGAAAGCGAAAAAACTTGCCGATTTATATGAATTGTTGTTAGAATTGGCGAGAGGTTTAATACCTATACAGGAGAAACTTGGTATAGATATCAATTCCGTTTTAGAAGCGGAACTTAGAAGGAATAAAACCTCATCAGATAAACCAATTAGATTATTTGATTTGCTTTTATGCTTAGAAGACGATATAGTGACAATTCAGGAAAAAATCGGTATTGTTGGTTATTCTAATCAAGAAAGGGCAGAAGAAGCTGATGAAAATGCAAGAGCGTATCTCCGAATGTTTGAGGAATTTCACGGTCCATTAGAAGATGTTCCAAGTGTATTAATAGAGAAATTCATTGACAAGGGGGTAAAAAAATTTTGGTTTACTGGTGAGGGACTACCATTATTTCCAAATGTCTCTCCTCAACAATTGTATGAAATTTTCGTTAAAAAATCGGCTAGTGCCAATCAGTGCCCATGTCTAGAATCAAAAGTAAAACAAGAAAAATTATCACGGATATATATACATCACAGCAAATAAAAATTCTTTGTTTGAAATTAGCTGGAGGCTGTCGAATACCCCGATTACCCGCTCTATTCTTCGACATTAAGTAAAATTATTTGTAAACCATGAATGATTAAGATTAATCCCGCCAATCTCTCTGATGCAATTACTGAACGCAGAAATAAGATCTGTTTCATCTAATAATGTACCGGTGAACATTGGAATAGGTAGATCAGAATCGGACCATTTTTTATCTGAATAATTAGGGTATTCGATTTTAGCCAAAGGCTTGCTTACGCTAATTTTAGGATTAAGTTTTTTCATCACTTCTTCACTAATCCCTTTACACCCCTCCAAACTAAGATATTTCAAATTAGTACAGTTGCGGGATATTTCCTCGACAGCTTTATTATCAATCGAACAATAGCCAAGCTCAAGATGTCTAAGTTTTGGGCATGAACGAGTAATTTCAGTGATACATCGATTAGTGAGACATATACATGAATTAAGACTCAGATACTGTAGTTTTGGAGAAAATCTCGCAATTTCTATAATTGGTATATTAGTGAAACCCTTACTTTTATCAAGAATGAGAAAGCGTATATCCGGACATGAATGCAGAATTGTACTTATTAAAGCATCTGAGATTTTTAAACCTTCTAATCTGAGATATACCATCTTTGAACAATAGGGTGGCTTTATTTTTCTACGCATAACTCTTTCAAAGTTTATCAATCGCCGAGTAAGAACCCGAGACATATTTAAGGCACGCCGACTCTGCTGATAATCTTCGTTGATAAACTCAACGCGACGCCATAGAATAGGAGCACCGCAGTGATACCAAAGCCGATTAACAAATAAAGCAGGATAGAGGGATCGATCGATTTCTAAAAAATATAAGATCTGTTCTAGTAA